CAGGAATTCTGCCTGGTTGGGGACTGCCGTACACAGTGGCAGAGGTTTAATTAAGAAAACTTGCCAGTTCCATACCGTCTGCACGATGGTTGAAACTGTGCTGGAGGCAGGAGTAACTCCTGCGAGCGGAGACCGAGCGTGATTGTGCCTTCTGAGCAGACGTGGCTGAGAATTGCATTAAATCTGTTCATAAAGCCCTGGGTTGCTCCACTTCTTCCTTTATTTTTTTTTTTTCTTTCTTGCATCCTTGAGTCCAGGAAGCTCTTGCCAGTGTTGCTAGCACAGTTTCTGTAGCAGAGTGGACAAATCTCTAAGGATTCCTTATCCTTAAACCACATTTAAACTGGTTGATGGTTCTCACTTGTGGTGCACCATTAGTGCTGCTGGGGAGGCAGAACTGCCAGGGCTTCGTCGTCTCCTTTCCCAAGGACATTGTGTTTGTGTGCCAGTGTTGCGGAGATCAGTGTTAGATGTCAGGACAGTTGTTGGTCATCAGAAACTCTTGAAAACTGGGTATGTTCAACAGGGTCATCTCTCTTGTTAGGAGGAACCGTGTAGCTTTGCCTCCTGTAGCTGTGTTAGGAGGGGGAGGAAGCATCTTTTGGCCTTTCCTTATGGTTCCAACTCCATAAAATAACAAAATCGAGGCGCAGGCAGCTTCATTTCTAGCCAAGAGTGGCTGAACTGATTGAAGGAGTAGAAGCCTGGGTTGGGAAGCGGGGCTCAGCACACAAGTGTTGGTGGAGAGCCCCTCTGTGCCCCCCATGCCATTCCCTGTGTGCCACGCCAGCAGGAGCTGCGGGATCAGCTGGTGCTGTTGCTCCTGCCCTTCTTAAGTGCAGTTTTGCCTGGCAGCGTCGAAAACTCTGAACCCAGTTGGCTTCTTATCCCGAGACGCTGGTAACCAGCAGTGACCCGGGCGTGCAGCTGCTCTGTGTTTTGCACAGTACAAAGTGTAGGGGACGGAGATCCCGTTTTATGTGATGGGGCAAATGAGCTTCTTGTGGATTATTTAATGGCCTTCAGTGTACGGAGAGGTGATGCTGCTGACCTGCTCATCTGTTACTCCCTTAGGGTTTAAAGGTGGCAGTGTCACTACCCTGCTCACGTACGAGTCCCGTGTCTCTGTCAGCTTTTCTCTCCCCATTGGAGTTGTGTGATGCCGTTGTGTCCGAACCCCGTCATCGGTGTCAGCCCCTGCTTGAGGAACGGCTCGTCCCGCTTGGGCAGCCTGGGAACCGGTCCAGGCATCCTGGGTCTCATTGCCGTCTCCACGGCTACCAGAAACATTTCTTTGAGTTGTTTTTGTTTGGGTTTTACAGTCAGCAAACTTCTTCCTGTTCTGCGGGGAAGAGAGCGGACCGCAGCCCTTCTTTCCCCACGT